AATTTGCTTTTGTGGGTAATGGACACCAAAATAACATAGGTTCCAAATATTATACCATCACAATGAGAATGGAAGTTCCTACATTATCTAATACAGGAGTGGGATTTCCCCACAACCAAAACCTTACCTTTTCCCCTGAAGACTTTCTTAACAAGGGTTGCTTTAAAATCAAAACACAAGCCTCTCAGAACACACATGGTTTGCTGATAGTGAAATGTTACTCGTGTAATTTCCTGAGCATTCTTCAGAACTATAGCTTTAGCACACCCTGGAGGAAATTACATCATTAGCGCATCCCAGAGCGTTAAGAGTTTCAGAGAAGCTGTGTGTGTCCCATGTGGCTCAGATTTTGGTTTTAAAGTTAAAGAAAGACTACAGAAAGAAGTCAGTTTTGAGACCAGACAGTGGCTGCACTCTCCACTGGACAGGGGAATCCTTCAGGGGGCCTTTCACAAATAAGTTGGAAAGTGTTAAACTTTAACATGATCATGGCATACATGTTACACTGACAAGGCAATCAACAAGAATGGCAATGACCTGCCCACTACTACACATAATGAGTAATGTAACAAATTAATTCAAGGTTTGAGCAATATTCAAAGAAACGAATTCCATAGTTTAACTACAAACTGCATGAAGAAATAATTTTAAATTTGTCTCATCCTGACTAATTCTTTACTATAATTATTTCCTCTGCTGACTTCTGTTATTATGCCATGAAAATGTGCAAACACTCATTAAAAAAAAGATTTTTCTCAGCATGCTAGACAGACTGAATAACTGACAGATTAATTATATAATTAAAAATTATATAATTAAGTCACCAAACTGAATTGTATCTGGAAATGCCTGGTTTCCTGTTGTTATTTGTTCTTCTTGGAAAGAACAATAAAGTTCTCATCTAGCTTCTTGACTTGGTTCAGGATTCACACACCACAGCAGATAGTTCCCTATCATTTCACAAATCGATTTTAAGTGACATATGCTCCCAGTCTCTACTGCTAAAATGTATTTCTCAGATTTCTGCTTTACTTTGTTTTCAAAGTCCGTTAGGTAGCAAACAGGCTAAACATCTGCAGTAATGTTTCCCTTTTCCATTATACATGGAGAAACTACTACCCATGCTGTAGTGTACAGTATATGACTATGCCCCCCCAAATAATAAATAAATAAATAAAAATAAGGGCAAAGACACCGTTTTTAAATATCTGAATAATCTTTACATCCAAGTCTCCAGGAGAATGGAAATATTTTACAAGGAAAGAGCTCTGCACATGGCAATGCACATCTGATGCCTCATCTAGAAACAGAAGGAACACACACACCTCCCTATTCCCAAAGCAGTGTTCAGATACAACTGAAGAGGAGACAAATCAAGAGAGAATTGAAAGTCATCAGAAGGAAAGAAAAGGGATAGTCACTGATCACAGAAACTGATCTGGACAAGAAAGGAGCAGCATATGCTTATGCTAGCAAACAGCTCAAGGCCTTCCAGTAGAGAATGTCTACTACAAGACTAAGAGATGGCAGCAGTGAAATGGTGTCAAAAGCCAAATGGCAATGAAAATTTAAACTCAAAACTTTCCCCAGAGAAGCAAGAAGGCTAGATGGGCCGACACATTCCAACCTCTTCACCATCACAACAGAAGCCCCAAGATATTTACCAATGTGTCTGCTTCTTCAGTGCGCACACAGACACAGATTTCCAGAGACAGCAGAGAACAAGAAATGGGCATCAGAATTCCCTTTCGTGATATATTGACAACAGTCTTCCCTGCAGATCATACATATAAAATGGCAACTGAGGGCACAGCTAGCTGTCAAGCAATAGGGTAGCATCAGCATGTACGTATTCAGAATAAAGGAAAAATGACAACATCCACCAAAGAATTAGTAGAAATGTGTGAAGCAGCAGATATCCAAGTACCACAAACCTTAGAAGAATAGGCCTCATCAAAGAAGAGCCAATATTCATGAAAGATTGATAAATTAGCAGAAGGAGGAGGGCTAGACATCAAAGCTGAAAAATTATAGACTTTACGGTCTTACTGTAAGCAAAGGTTCTTTAAATTTAGGCCAGATAAAAGTTAAGGAACAAGTGCCAATGTCATTTTACAGCATTCAGAACATGAAGCTGACATGAAGAGGGTTAAAAAATGGAGGTTCTCATCACAAAGGGAGGGGACAGAAAAGACAACTCTTTTGGAGAGATGGAAAAGGCTAACAAAATTGGAGGGATATGCTATAACAGCAAAGGGAGGAAGGGAAGACTTTTTCCTTTCCTTTCCTTTCCTCCCCCACTCCACCCCAAAATGGAATACAACAAACTATGGCAAACAAACGGTACAAAAAGTATGTAGTTTTAGTGAACTGTAAATACAGAATGCGGAGGCAGAGGAGAATCACAGCTAAAGAGGATAGATCTACGGCTGCCATTTTTAACATAACCCCACAAGAAGTCACCCTGAGCAAGTATGACATGAAAAATTCATCTTCACCAACAGTGGAGTTTTGCTGTATTTGTTTCAGTTAAAAATAGTTAACTAGTCTATTGTACTTTAGCCATAGTGAAAAGGACACAAATAGAGGAAACAATGTCACATTGGAGTCAAGGAGTATGAGATGGTGGGCATACGGAACAGATGAAGAACAGAACTCTTTTTTTAAAAAAAAGTTATGAGGATATAAAATACGAATATAATAACCAAAGCATGACAAGATACTAAGGGACAGAAAGAACTCTGGCTAAAAATACTATCATGGTCTGAATTACTCAAAATACAATCATGCTCATTGTGCAGCTCTGCCCGTGCAACAGGCGTGACATTAAACAGCCACAGCAGACTGCTACTAATTAAAGACTTTTTTAAAAAAAATGGGAAGTGCACAACTTTCACACAATGACATGAAACTACACACATTCCAAAACCAAAGAAGGAACTCTTCAATAAGGAAAAGGTGACATCGCTTCCATTGTGCAGGTAGAGCTGAGCAACAGGATACCAGCCATTAAATGGAAAATGAAAAAAAATATAAGGTAATGTAAAAAGTAAAATCATTTGCACGAAATATAAAAATATTACAGGAGACACACTTTAAAAAGAAAATAAGGGAAACATTGACATGCCTATAGTCTGAAGTTCAGACTGTACGCATGGGGCATGAAAAGCAAGAGGGATATGATACTCTCCAAGAAGAAATGCTCAAAATAAATTGACCAAGAACTGATAGATACAAGTGGGAGATTTGTATTAATTACGGGAACACTCACAAAAGGTGGGTACTATGCACCCAACAATTCAGTTATATTTCATAAAAGACACAATTTCTAAACTGAAAAAATTAATAGATGAGAATACTATACCAAATGGTGATACAAATGCAATATTGATCAAAATACTGTTGCACAGCTCTGCTGGTACAACAGGAGTGACATCACTACCAGCCGCAAATTCCCTCTTACTAAAGAGTTCCTTCTTTGATTCCAGATTGTGCATGACTTTGTCTCACCATGTGTAAGCAACCTGTTGCTGCCAGTGATGTCTGCCACTGCGGGTGACACTCCCATTGTGCCAGTGGACTTATGTAACAGGATTAAAAAATTAAAAAAATGAATACATACATAATAGAACTTAAAAACACAATGTGCTTCCTAACAATAAACATGCTGATGAATGAAATGGAAATTACTGACCTCTGAAGACTGGCATAAGAGAACACAGATACTCTTCATTAATATTTTGCATCTATTCAAGTACAGACTGTATAAAGGTCATCTCCAAATAGCAAATCAATTTGAATCTATGTATACAAGGGCAAAGAAAAGTAAATAATTTACACATCAACTTGTATAGATATCCTGTATCAAACAGAACCAAAAAGGTATCTATTAACCTTATAAAAAATCTTGGAAATATTTAAAACTCACACAGGTTTAAAATAAATCTACCATAATATAGAATGTTATACTTCAATATATTAAAAAGACCTCAGCAGGAATTACAGAATAACAAGAGGATCCTTCCAGTATAAATATTTAGAAGTTGTCTAATGCAGTAGCAATCTTCCGTTTATAAATTCTAGTGCTCCTTATTTAGAAGGGGCTTCAGAAACTTATGGAGGATTCCTATACCAGGCTGCAAATATATGAAAATGCAAGAACACAAAAGGTATGTATGTATGTATGTATGTATGTATGTATGTATGTATGTATGTATGTATGTATGTATGTATGTATGTATGTATGTATGTATGTATGTATGTATGTATGTATGTATGTATGTATGTATGTTACTTTTATGCACCAGAAATTCATGACCAGAGCAGGGGGAATGTTCGAATCATTCAGTTTCAGTTAACCACTCTGCAGCACTATTTTGAATTTTCCAGGCAATTTTCAAATACAGTACAGCCCTACATATAATACATTCCAGTAACTTAAGAAGTTTTTATCAGAGCATGGCTAAGTGCTCCAAGTAAGGTGCATGCGGTTTTATCAGACAAACTAGATAGAGATACAAATATTAAAATGAACAAATATAGAGCTACAACCATGGTTCCCTCTAAGGTGTGTGACTGCACGAGTGCACACTACTTTTCCCCCTCCACACAGCTTTCCTCCTCCTCCTCTACACACCCACAACAATAGTTTCCAGTCCCTTTAGTTCCAGTCACGACAGAACCTCATATGCGAGGGTGTCCTGTGGGGAGGCAGAATTGCACTCAAGAGGGGTGGATGCCTGCCCAGCAGGGTTAAAAATTAGAGGGAATGTTGGCTGAACATATTTACATACAATAAGCAACTACAGACTACAACCTCTGGCATTAAGTCATCCAAACCCATCCCCATTGAACAGAAGTTATCCACTCCCAAGTCTTCCATTGCAATTATCCAACACCGAAACAGATCCATAACTGTCATTTCTTCAATCTCTGCCACTTGATCACTTGATCACTTGATCTTTGCTTGCCTTTTCTCTGCAACCTGAAATAGTACCTACTAGGAATGGTTGGGCGTAGAACAGCGACAGGTTCTCTCTTAGCCTTCCCTGTTCCCAGGTCTCCAGCAAGGTGTAATGGGAGAGATGACAGTGGCACAAGTGGTGTGGATTTTCTCTCTCTCCTTCCTGTTTTAACAAGGAAAGCTATCCCTCAGTCCAACAACAAGACGACACAACTGAATTTTATTATACAACTTATTTTTCTCTAGCAATTAAGAGCCTGAAGCACAATAAAGCCAACACTTCTAATTCTTAATAAGATTAACATGCAGCACATTAATGAATGACAGTAATTCCCAAGCTTCCTCTTTGTAGTTGGCTACTTTTTAAAATGAAAGCAGAATAAGCGGATTCTGTTGGGTCAACAGGAACACAGTTTTCTTTCTAACTGTGTCCCTAGCACATCATGGTGTTTGCCCATGCATAGTTACTATCACAATGTTGTCTTCACAGTTCTGCTTTGGAAGGTTTGACCACAAAGGTCCCCTCCGTTATCTCTGTACACCATCAGGGTATGTCCCTTCATCAAGCAAAGCTGGGCAATGCCCATGAGCAAGATCATGCACCCTTGTTCAATCAGCCTTCAGGAACATATTTTAAAGAATGCATCAAGAGCAGAAAGCAGCCTGTACCTTCTAAAAGGCCCAAGCCATGGATTAGTAATTCAGTAGAACCCTAAGCACAAGGCCATTGCTGTTATTGTTAGGCAGCAGCAAGCTGTGTTGGATTACTGCTTGGCAGAAGCCTGGGGCCATGTTGGAAGGCAGTACATTTTCTTACCGGTGTAAAATCGAAAATCCTGAAAGAAGCTTATCAAAGGAATGGGATGAAATGGGCTAGTTTTAAAGAGAAGATTGTTAGATCATATTTTATGGTGAGTATTAACAACTTTTTGTTGGTGTAGGAAAGACAAATGTTCCATTCCGGCTCTTCCAGAAACCCACACTGCAAATTCTGTACATGCACTCTTAATACAAGATCATCATGACTCTACCTGGTATTGTGATTACAAGCCAGGACACTGATGTAATCCAGCAAAAACACACAGCAACTACAGACTATGTGCTGATTCAGAAGTATCCTAACAAACTTGCTTTTAAGCTTAAATGAGTAAAATTGCATAACTCAGTTATAATCTAAAAGCAAAAGGAAGTTTCTCTCTGAGCTCACAAACACATACATCTCCACAAAAATTGCATCTACATTTGACAACTGATACCCATCCCAAACAGATTATTCAACTGTATGCCTTTCCACATATCAACCAAATGATCTAAAACCCTTCTTTGGAAGAATATTTTTTTCTCCATTTAATACACAGAAAGCTACTTCTTATTCTTGCTGCTGTTCTTCTTGTCGTTGTCATAGTGATCAACACCTTACAAATGGTACTCAAAGAAGGACTGCAGTTGAAAATTGAGAAATATCATCTAGGAAATCAAAACAGAATACTATCCCTGTTTCAGAAAGTGTATAAATGCAAACAAACAAACAAAGGATAATGTTTTTATCAAAGAACTGCATAATAAGTTGCAAGATACAGCACCTTCTTTCTAATGGATGGGTTCACATGCAGTAATAAGCCATGGGTTCTAGCTTGTTTAACCACTATCTGAATGAGCCACCAGCTAATATACAAAGCCCATTCATCTCCCTCTTGCTTTGACTGTACCTTCTTTGGAATGGGTAAAACCCCCACGCAAGGACTGACTAACTAATTCTGGCTTGTCTGAGGGCAATTAATCAAAATATCAGATTCAGACATCTTGCTAAGTTATTCCTACCTGTTTTGTATATCTATTTTGCATGATGGGAAAAGGCAAGCAGGAATAATAACGCTACACACACAAAAATGCTGCTGCTTCATGCTGTGGTTTTCGCCTTACACGCAAATCTGCTCATCTGCATCCACCACCTCCAACACATGTTTAGCCATATACACACTTGAAATGATAACACTACAGTACAAGGGAACAAATACTCTCCCCTGAAGCAGCTTTAAGTTGTGATGCCTAAATAGTATTTAATAATTACATTTTTTAACCTAGACATCCATCAGATTTCTTTCAATGCCTGTCTTGAAATGTAATACTAATCTAGTCCAGCAGCCTCTCATCTGCCTCCCAACATGGCTATTGTGTATAAATTAAATGGCACTCATTTTTATGAGAGAGAAGAGAGGACTGAAAGGAAGGGAATGGAAGGAGGGGATTTTGTACCTGAGCCTATTGAACGTCCAACGGAGTCAGAGGAAAGAACCACTGAATCTGTAACACAAGAGTACAAGTTCATTTTTCCCTTGTCATATACATCCATTAATTGTTTACAAGAGGCTCTTTTCCTCTTCCTCCATAAAACTGGCTACACATGCAGCAGAGGAATTCAGACCATAACATTTTTGTGTGCTACATGTGCAGCTGATCAATACACATTCGAGTGATACATTAAATATTTCTGGCCCAGAATTATACCCTTTTGAGGAAGAGAACAAACAACTGTACCAGAAATTCAGCTTATAGAAGTCAGTAGGAGGCAAGTTACTTACTGCCTTAGAGGAGCTACAAAAATAAATTTTAGAAATTATTCTTGAGTCATGATAGAGAGGATAGATTCCATTAGCTGCACAATTAAGCAAACTATTGTGTCACAGAATATCCAAATGTCTCTTCATATTCGGTGAGTAAATAAACCATTAAACAGAAGAAATATAAGCAAGAACAATGTTAGATACACTTGTGAATGAAAGCAGATGCCATCTCAAATACAGTTCAAGAATGACTGCTGGAATAATATGAACTCTTAATTTTCATAATGTTTCTTATCAATACTGTCCACAGTAACACTTCTCAAAGTAACAGAAGGCTCATGACAAAGAGCATGTATGGCTGTCTGATGAGACAAGAAACACTTTATGGAATTTAGACACATTAAATCATAGAAATAAGATAATGCAATCTGATACTGGAACAGATATATAACCATTGTGACTAGTAGCCATTGATGGCCCTAACTTCCATGAATTTGTCTAATTCCTTTCTAAAGCCATCCAGGTCAGCATCCATCACTATATCCTATGGCAATGAATTCTACATTGTAACTATGTGATGTAGGAAGCACTTCCTTCTATCTGTGCTCACTTTCTCCACAATTTCCACACCATAGATCACTTCATACATTGCCAGCCTGTCCCTTTACCTTTTTTCTAAGCTAAAACAAAGCCAAGTTAAAAGAGTTTATAATGTTTGCATCTTAAAACTCCATCAATATTTTTTCATGAAAGTTTTATCTTGTCATCTAGCTTTCAAACCCACATTTATATCCTGCTTTTTTCCTTCAACAAGCATAAGGCTTTAAACATGACTTTTCCCTAGTTTATCCTTCCTACAACTCTGAGCAGTAGGCAGACTTAATGGCTAAGTGGAGATCTGAAGGTGAGTCTCGAATCTCTGTCCAACATTCTAACCACTATACTACACTGCTACATTGCTCTAAAATCCAAATTTCACTTTAAAGCCAAGAACTGATTAAAAAATTATCTTTCCCTTGTTTCTTCCTGAGACAGCTAGTATAATGTATAGCTAGTATAATGTGATATGGTCACAATTGTATGGGTCGGACAGTTTGCAGGTCCCAAAGCTTTCCCTGTAAAAGCTGCTAATCCGAAGACCAAGTCACACCTTTTGCTATTTTCTGAACACTTGCCAATTTTTCAACATCTGTTTTTGGAATGATGCATATTGAATTCAGTGAAGGAATTTAGTAGAAGTTCATTTCACATTGTACAATGAGCCTGAAAACACTTTACTCCTGGCCTTCATTTTTCTCCTCAAGCAACCAAAGGATCAGCACATGTCTATTTATGTGTGCCTGCGTCCTTTCCGTTAAATCAGACTGGAAAGTTAGGTATGCAGAAAGAGACACACAGCAGCAATAGTTGTGAGAGAGTGGTAGCAAAATCTGGCTCCCTCTATTCCTCAAATCATATACAAACTTTACCATGCTCTTCTTTGTGGTTTTAAATGCACTGACCTGGGACACAAAGTAAGCTAGCTGGAGAAAGCTCACAGAACTTTCCCTCTCCTTTCCTCACCAGCCTGTTGGGCTCCATGAAAAGCTTTTCCACATGGTCAATGGTCTGTGAAGGAATGGGGGAATAATCCAAAAAATGGATGATGTTTGCCCAACTTGGGAAAATTCCCCTCTCCCTCAAAAGTATTTTGCTCATCAACCCACAGTATTTTCACTGGGCACAGGTTCTCCAGTAGGGGAACAAGGGACAGAAAACTTTCCTATGTTGACTTATGCCAACTTCTCCTGGGATCCAGGCTGCTGTCTTTTAAGCCATTTCTCACTTTCTTTTTCCTTGCACTGTAAACAGAGATAAAGCTCTTCAGAGGACCATGTTCAGCAATGGATTGTCTTTAGTCTGAAGGTATAAAACTATATGCAAAGATTCTATACCATACAGAATGGAGTCCTGAGAAATCATGAAACAAACCACTAATCTCACAGGAGTAATAAAAGTGTAATAAAAGTTTGGTACAGTTTTTGAATTACATACCACAGGAATAGAATCCTCTGGAATCAAAGCCAAACATACTGAGGCAGCAAAGCTAATCTGGCAGCTCCTTTAAATAATTGCAGATCTTGAATACTCTTGTAGAGATCAGTCTTTTCAAAACTGACACCACTAAGAACTAGACAGGTTTTTTTTATAAAAAATTCTTTTGATATAGACTATTCCAAACCAAATGCTGGCTTGGAATCAAAATGTATCACTAGCTGTTTCTGAGAATTTTTTGGCCAATGCTGGACATTTCTTATAGGCTTCTGCCATGCATATATGCACAAATATGGTATTCCAATTACCTCTTACAAATCCACTTGGATTACAGTTTAGTATAACAATGGTTATCATCATTCATCACCACAGTTTAGGTAAACAGAGCATCACAGAGATGTTGGTTGTAAGGAGCTCTGATAAACAGGATGCTTGCAATTCAGTCACCAGGGTGATAATGTCTAACAAGACTTGCTTAGGTGTATATGTCATTACTTTATACATCAGCCTAGCAAGCCTAATTTTTTAACCTCTGTAAGGTTCCCATAACTACAAGAAGCTGGTGTGGGAGACTGTGGGTCGGACAGGGTACTACTGTGTGTCAGTCAGTACCAACCTGATAGGTTCAGGTGTCTGTATGGTTAGCCAGAACTGATAGGTTCAGGGTCTGTGCTTCAAGTTAAGTGTTCTGTGTGAACCAAACTGTGTGTATGTATGATTGAGACTAAGCCACGTTACTGTATCTTATTCACTTGATCCTTTTATTTTTCCCTGTGTGTTATGTAAATAAACCTTGTTCTTTTATTTGTTTAAAAATCCATCCCTGGTCTGTATGACTTCTTATAGGGAATGGTTGGTGGCAGCTTAGTGAAACTGTGGTATATCCCAGTAGGTCTGGGTTTGTCACAAACAATGGTTATCATCATTCATCACCACAGTTTAGGTAAACAGAGCATCACAGAGATGTTGGTTGTAAGGAGCTCTGATAAACAGGATGCTTGCAATTCAGTCACCAGGGTGATAATGTCTAACAAGACTTGCTTAGGTGTATATGTCATTACTTTATACATCAGCCTAGCAAGCCTAATTTTTTAACCTCTGTAAGGTTCCCATAACTACAAAACCAGGAGAACCAAGTACAGTATTAAGAAATCAGTCTTGTCAGATAACAAATTGAGGGGGATCAGGATAATCAGGCAGAAATTCCACTTCTGTCCTTCTCCATTCGAGAAGTGAGATTTTCACTACCCCCTGTCCTTTCTCCATCTAAGGAGCCTCTTCTGACCAGGGGGAAGTCAAACCAATGTGGAGGATATATCAGAGATCTCCTACCAACTCTCCTCAGAATGAAGAAGCTACTTGGATTTGTAGTGAAACTTTTCAACCTAATAAGAAAGAAGTCCAGTTGGAATGTCTAAAACTTTCAGGTATTTATCCTAATGTCACACACTCCACTGTGTCCACTGAAACTCTAGTTCAAAAGTGGGCAGACTTTAGGATCTGATTCTTTCTTCTTTTCTTCCTCCCCTCCCCCTCTTCACAGGAATCCTAATGTCTATCAGAGCAGAAGCAAAAAGCAACGACAAAGCAGCTAGGGATCCATGAGCCCTCCAGATATTGTTGGTCACCTACCAGCCCTTGTGATAAAGGCCAGCGGTAAGAGACTGTGAGAGTAATGATTCATCAACATGGGATCCTTCTAATTTGAAATAAAAGAATTTTCAGCCCAGGAATTGTTCTGAATATCAAAACTGAACAAAGCTCTTAGTCCTTCAAAGCAAGACAGATACAAACACACAAACACAAACCACTGCAGAAGTGCAGTCAAATTGTTCCTTATAATGTTGAACAACTGAAGCCAGAAATCTTCACAGATCTATAGTCCAATCTAGCTTATGTCTTCAATTGCTTTTGCTGCACTTTTTGCTATTTCATTGTTCCCAGTTCCTCAGAAAACTAAGAAATCAAACATGCTTATACAAAAAGGAGGGGGCTTTTAAAAGTGATCATTTGAATTGTTCAGGCCATGTCCTCAATCCCTAGTCAACTAGCACATGCAGGATGTGCACACTGCAGAATCTACCAGAACTGCAGGATGTGTACCATACAAACATATACAAGAACTGGAGCAAGTGCCAATCTGGAGTGCTGAAAGCCTCAGTACATGTATGCCTTTTACATGTACTGAAGTAACTATTCCCTGTCCCAAATCATGGGCCTCTCTAATTCTAAGAAAGAAAAACACGGAACATAAACTTTTGGAAACTTCACTGAATATACATGTTAGTATCAGAAAACAAGGAAGTGCAACTGTGCTATAAACTATTTCGGACCTCTTGACCCTATCTCAAAAAAACCCTGTAATTTCTTGTTAAAAGCAAGAGCACAGGTCAGAAGACAGTCCCACCAAGCTCACATGTAATTTACAAACTTCTAACAAGACATTCACAAACCCAATGGACTAACAGATCTTGCCACATCAGTCAGTGCTTCCTTGACACAACAGAGCCTCCTTGACATAAGAATAGACAGATTCTGGCTGTTCCTACAATCATATACACCAGTGGTTCCCAACCTTGGATCCCCAGATGCTCTTGGACTACAACTCCCAGAAATCCTAGCCAGCACAGCTAGTGGTGAAGGCTTCTGGGAATTTTAGTCCAAGAACATCTGGGAACCCAAGGTTGAGAACCACTGATTATACAC